TTGAACACATTTCCAATGATACTCATTTCACAATTCCCAATCCTTATCACAAGTGTAAGAATATCAAATTCTTGTCACTATTAGAATGTGTTAGATTCTAACATTTTACGAAATGATCCTTTTGTAATGTCATAGCACCAAAATCACAAAGACTTTGCCAATGATATTACAAAGTACTCTATGAAGTCTCACATTCAAAGTATATTCCTTTGAACATCCTTCTTGCATAAAAGTTTCTAATCTACATAGATTCTTAATATCCAACTCTCATTATGGAAACATTTCCATATTTTCCATATGACAACACATTCTAAATAGAATCCTATCTGTTCATAATAATGTCAGTATGGTCCATCCATTACTATACTTCCAACTGCCCACAAGTGACCAATCCTTGGCGAACCTTATATTGTACTTGACAGTTGTTTATTATACTTTAGTCATATACGGTTCTGGTCCTTTTCCCTCTTAATGCCCTAGGCATTTGGAAAAGCCATAACGATCGAATATTACAGCATATGCAATCAATCCTATACCCGAAGCGCATGGGATACGATTCATAATGTCTTACATAAAGACATGATACTTTACCAGTCTCTTGCTATAATATTACCATATATAGAATTCCCTAATGTTGAATCTTTTCAACATAACATTCATATATGTCCTTTGACTAAATTTGATTAAAATTTCTCGATCTAAGCTTTTAGATTTGAAATGAAGTATAATATTTTCTCCCCTAATTATAGAAAAACAACCTTTCAACCTCTGCAACTTTGCAAAATGAAACTTTTTTTGTTTTCTATAACTAATATTACTTTACATAATAATCATGCTCCCACTATCATGATAATTATATCTTTACCAGTATAACACTTATGCTCCCACTCGCTTTGACATGCGTTCAGAAATCAGTTGGACTTCTAGTCATAATCATGATAATTATATCTTTACCAGTATAATCATGCTCTCACAATTCGAACTATGAAGAGGGATGCCGTAGTCATAATCAAATTTGAGAACGCAATTTACACAATAGCTAACTCCTTAAAATCTTTCTTAGTAAAAGCGTTTCCTTACAATCATTTTCATGAAGTGGAGAGAAACCTTACCACTTAGATTTTATGGTGTAAGTGTTCCTATCCATGTGAATTTGTCATAATCATAATCATAAGATAATGTTTGTGACAAATCCAACTAATATGGACATAACTTGTTCAATCTTAATTTCTTACCATCAAGGGTCCCACCATTGTTTCCAAGTTATTGAGCAGCTTACCCCTACATATCAATTTACTTTCCATTGATCAAGGTGCTTTGCCTTATGCAATCAAATGAGAACTCATAGAACTCACACACATAGTTGACTTAAAACTGGAATGGCACAGAAATAAGAATATGTCAACACGATAGGTTATAAACCTCAAGTCGTGTGCTAGTGATAGACAATAGGTTTACTCTTGATTAGTTCTTGAAACTTTTCAAGATCTTTAATACTCCCACTGACCTCATGACATATAAGATTCTCTTGTTAAATGACATTTCTCGACAAACAAATATTCAAGAGTTAGTGCGGATTCTTATCAAGACAAAGCACAACAGACAATTGGTCTTAGTTGGTCTTTGTCTTATCCAAAGACATCACAACTTACCAATTTCAAATGTGCAAGAGTAAGAAACATTTATACTCCACATTTTATGATGTGTTATAAACTTACTTAAGACATGTCACTCAATACACAATCTTGGAGTATGACTTTCAGACTTGATTTTGGAACGAACTATGATTCACCTTTTGATTTAACCATTTCAACAATTTCCCGATACCTCTTCTTGGTCATATAAATGCACCAAGGTGTCCTTAGAGGATGAATTGCGACACGGTTTCATAATCACTAAGATGATCATAAAACATGATACTTAAGTACTCTCCTTTCTTTTCATATTGGAGAAACTTTATCTTTCTGCCTAAATGATTCTTCTTATTCGTGTTGCCATACATTGAACTTTTCAAGTGATTCAGAATAACACTTAATCTTGTAAGTATAACCATGTTTATTGAACTTTTAGCAAATCATGAGGAACAATCTTATCGTTGTTCGTGGTGGACTTGTCCAATTCACACCAATGTGTACTAGATCTCCTAGTCCTTCACTTGACTCACATACTTATATGAACAAGGAATTAGTCTTAATTTCTAAATACGAAGGTTCTCATTCATCATACAATACCAGTCGCATGATTCCAAGTTTCTGTCCAATTGAAATTTGGGTGATGAGAATCATTCCTTATTTAGTAAATTTTCGACACTACCACAAATAACATAACTTAGAATCACATCTATTTTTCAATATTGCTAGCAATAGAAACATACAAACATCAATTTTCACAAAAGTCATTGCAAGGATATATATATATATATATATATATATATATATATATATATATATATATAAGACAAAAACAAAATTTGTTTTATTTATAAAACGTGGAAAAATTTGTCCTTACAACGCAATTACAAATGAAAACTATGTTACTAAATATTTCTAAGCAATCTATCATAACTCCTAAGAAGCAGCTCAAAAATCCGATCATCGAACCATGCGATCGAAATCCATCTCTTTGCGACCAGATTCAACTCATCCTTTAAGCTTCCTTTCTTTTTTCGATCCTACAGAACATCAAAATGCAATCTTATCACATCATGTATTAAGAATCTACAAACAGAAACTTAATAGAGTTAGATAGTGGATTTACCTAAAGCAGAGTCATACATCTTGACTCTCCCATCCTTGCGATCTTTCAGGTAAGCATGGTAGCTTCGCATCCAATACCCCTTCTCTTGGCAGTAGAAACAAATAGACTCCTTTGGAACAGCACACGGGACAATCTCAGATTCAACCTTTCTCTTTACCATCTAGTCAAAAGGTTTGACCATGGCCATCCCTTTCCATTGGGAAGATAAGACTTTTATAGACTTCCAATGTTGCCATCGTCAATGTCTATGGAAGTTTGGGAGGTTGATCTACCAGTCAAATTTGCTTTACCAGTGCGCCAAATCATTGTTGATTCAGCAGCAATAAGCAAATAGGTAAAATCAATGAGGGTCATGTCATGGTCCATCATATAGTACTCTCTAATGAACTCACTATATGATTCGATAAGTGATTAAAGAACCAAGTCAACAACCAACTTCTTTGAGACAATGACACCCAACATTCCCAACTTGTCAATGTGCGACTTCATCTCCAAGACGTGTGCACACACAGACTTTCCATTTTCGTGTTTACTTGCCAAAAGGGCTTGAGTGAGCTTGAACTTTTCAAGTCTTCGAACACGTGGCTCAGGGAGAACTTGATTGCTCATTATAGCAACAAACTTGTAGCAACAAACTTGTTTGCTCCTTGTAGCAACAAACTTGATTGCTCATTATAGCAATGAAACTTGTTTACTCATTTTAGTAACAAACTTTATTTCACATGAGAATATGAACGTTGCATCTCATTCGGGCAACATACTTTATCTCTCATAATGACAACGAACTTTGTTTATATAAACTTATTTACTCATTTTAACAATATACTTTTATTTATGGAAACTTTTATCAAAACTTGATTTCGATTCATGAAACCAATATTATTATGTATTATTTTTATCTGTGAGTACTCACCAACTATTTTTATAGTTGATGCTCATTTTACATGCTTTTTCAGGAATCATCGAGTAATTGGCACTTAGGGACACATCACTTTTAGGAGCATTCGCATGTGTTGTATTTCAATTTTTATTCTAATTTCTTTTAAAATTTGTTCAAACCCATTGTAAATTTGTAATGATTTATAATACCATGGTTGGTGTTGTCTTTTAACTTTTGCTATGAAACCCTTTATACAGCCACGCCTCGTGTTTCTGCTTTAGCGGGGTGTGACAACCTCACTTGTTATGTAGTAATAACAAGAACTCTTTGACCTTTGAAAGCTTAGTGCCCCAAGTGTTGCACCTCTAATGGAGTCACAAACATCACTAGCAACAAGATGACTTAGGATAGGGGAGGAAATTGGCTAGGGCAACATCAAGAAGCATAGGGTCGAAATCCTTATGTTAGGGGGTCTATTTCTACTTGTGGCTACTAGGGTTTTTAGGTGGAAACTCTAATATGACTGCTTAAACCTTAAGCAGCTCATGGACTCCTTCTAGAATATCCCTTGGACGAATTCCTTATGGGCTTCCCATAGAATTCGTCCAACCTTTATTCCAAGGTGATCCATCAGCCCAATTGCAATTATCTTATAGTTACAGTATCAGTCCCCTTGATTTAGTTAATCTCTTTTGATCACAAAATTAATTCTAAATTAATTTTTGATCAATATTAATTAAACAATATGATTTCTCTTTTAATATATTATTCACATACTATTAATAAATCACAATTAATCCTCTTTCTCCGTAATTCATCCTATCAGTTGCTATGATGAAGGCAACCCAAAATAATCATGCTCATAATCGGGTCAAGTACATACTAAAATAGTTATGGGCTTAGACACCTAATCCAACAACTTTTACATGTGTTGTATTTTTGTTTATGACCAGATGGGTCTTTATTGTTGATTGTTGTCTTATCTGAATTGAACTGCTGATATCTTTGGGACTGTTGAGAATCCCTAGGGTTGTTGATAAACCCCTGAAACGTATTGTTAATCCCTATGGTGTGTTGTTAGCCCACTGAGATTGTTGTCTTATCTGAACTGAACTGTTGATATCTTTCGGTAATTTTTGCTGATATCAAATTTTTTTGGTTGACATATTAAATCATCAAATTAAATGATCTATAAATACATAAAAGAATCTATAAAATTCACTTGCAGAGCACCCTTGTTTCTTGTATGATATACCACTAAACTTTTCCAATTTGCCAATACTTTTTTTTTCTTAAAATCCACTCGTTTCTTGTAAGATATACCACTAAACTTTTCCAATTTTCCAATACTTTGTTTCTTAAAATCCACATCTTATTGATTGAAAACATGCACATGGTAGAATTTACATACAATTTACCATCCAAAAAATACCATCAATCACTCTCTTTTTCTTTCCATTCATTTTTCCTTAGTTTCCAATTCTCAATTAAATCAACACAACACAAGACACAACTCCAATACATTACATCTTGCTATGTGTACTCACCAATTTGCCGCTTCTTGTTTCTTCACAATCCACATCTCGAAAAAATATACCAGCAAAAAGTAGAATTTTTAGAGATATTGAACATACATCCAATTCTCCTTTCTTTTCCACTGCATCAGATAATCTTTAAACAATATTCCAAAAATACCCTTTGTTTATCTTTGCAACTGCACAAAAGAACAATGCTTTTGATAATAATCCCGCTGTTTTGTTGTTTTAGTTCTGAAAGGTAAAAAAAATCATATTAAACAATAAAAAATATATAAGACATTGCTATTCCATAAGTACACTGTCATTTCATAAAAATAAAATGTCATATATAAGTGAAAACTGCCATTTCAGGGTCAGAACAAATTTTGATAAATAAAAATACCTAGGCTGGAATTTTTCTTTAGAATCATACTTATAGGAGATCCAAACTCCAATATTTTGACGACAATTCTTTGAAAGCTCAATTTTTAACAATTGGCCGATAATTGAAAGCTCTATGTTCTCATATAATGAAATAAAACAAAGGTGTGCTATAGAAAACAACTAAATAGATGCTATTAGACCATATATGGTTCTTTTTGTTATACTTCTGTTTAAACAGTTAGATGCCATTGGACCAACTCTTTGGTTTCAAATCCATTTCTTTTATAGTCCCCCTCCATATATCAACCATTTCATGTTTCCCATTTTCTGCATAGAAACTTGACATTAGAACATAGTTATCTGCATTAAGTGGGTCTAACCACATAGTTGCCAATGTTATCAATGCTTCAGGGTGCTTTTCTATACCATGTTCTTTAAGAAAGGCTTTTTTCATCATCAAGCTTCCCTGCATGTGCCAAAAACGCATCCATTAAAGCACAATGAAACAATTTAAGTGGGCTTATACAGTTGAAATTGAGATGTCCTTTTAATTTTCAGCTACCCACATATTCATAGCTAGCTAATGACTTTCTTTCTTGGTTGAAGAACGAATATTGATCAACCATGCTTATCCATGAGTAGCTTCATGTGGAGGGCTTGAGCAATAAAAAAAGACAGAAAATCAATATTTAACCCATAATACAACTACTACTATGCAGTGTACACCATTTGAATACAACCAAATGACAAAGAATAACAAAAGCTTGATTTCATTTGCAATTGACAGTAAAAACTTAAAAACTACCCAATATTAATAAGATAAACAAAATAATCTCTTGAGTGCAAGTGACCTCACCAGTTCATAGAGACAAGTCATAATGTCCACAACCAACACATAGCTCCATGGTATTACCTGAATGCTTTTATTTCAAACACTATCTATTAGGTGAAGTGTTAGGGAAGAAATTAACGATATTTGAAAACAACAAACCAATTAAAACCAAGGGGGAGAACTTAGGTAAAAACATTGTTAGCAGAAGCATAAATGAAAACCCATACCCTGAAGTAGGATCTTGAAAAGAAAACCCATAAATGTATAGAACATACAGATTCAAGGTCAGGAGGTGGGAAGAAGAGATGGTGAACCTGTTAAATCGATGGTAAAAAACCTCCAGCCTATTTTTTATAACATTAAGGATATTTCTGGTGAGGTTCTTGTTGGAAAGAGAAACCAAAGCATAGGAGAAATTAGATGATTGAGATGTGAATCTCTCGTTTAGTAGAGAAAGAAAAACATAAAGTTCATATTTTTTAAAATGAACTCACCTTGAATGTATCTCTGCTATACCAGTCACTCCCTCCCCATCTAGTGACACCACCGTCCATGTAATTAGCAAATTGATGCAAACAATTTCTTGAGGGTGCTCTCCCGAACAGGTTTTATAGCTAACGCTATAAACAAAACACATTCATACAATCAATTTTCGAAAGCAACATATTAACAAATAATGATTTTAAAAGTTCATAATTTATACTAATATATCAACAAGAGTAGAAATTAGGGATTCGTTCATCAAAATTGAAACTTGAACACCAGAAAGAAAAATCGGAACATAATATAATTCAAATCAAATTAGGAGAGAGGACGAAGGGAAAGAAAAAGTATATACCGGGATTGAGTGGTTGTTTCTTGGCTATTGGTGTGGGCAATATCTTTCTAATAAATGAAAAAGGTTTTCACACTCTTATTTAATTTAATCTTATGTAATTATTTTGAATTAATTCTTTTTCCACCTATCATCTTATGAGTTTTTCTATTTTAGTAAATTTTATATAATATTTTAATATAATAATTGCAATAAATATAGTAATAAATAGATATCAATTTCATTAATTAATTTACTTTTTAATTTCAAAATTTCCAAAATTAAAGCTTATTAATTTCTTTTATTTATTTAAATTATTTGTTTAAATTTAAAAGAGAAAAAACATTTCCATTATAATAATTTATTATTTTTCTTATTTTCTTAGAAATTCAAAGTTCCCAAATATTTTGATCTTTACATCGAACTTTTTTTTAATTAACTCATGTAATACATTGGTCTCACAACTAGTTACATATTATCACACCCAAAATGATCACCTCATCGTCTAAGACATACTTTTGGTGTTATAACACCCAATGTGGAAATGGACAACACCAAATAACATGTGATAACACCTACCATTTTCTATTTCTTTATGTTTTTAATTACTATTTTTCTAATTTGTTTTATTTTTTTTTAATTTATTTCATAATATTTTTAATAAAAACATATAAATTAATAAAACATAATTCAATTAACTATTAAATTAAACATACCATTTTAAAACTAAAAACGACATTACAAAGCAATAAAAAATGACCGAAAACTTACGATAGTCCTAATAATTTGAAAAACATAAAACCAATACATTATTCTTCACCTAAATATTTCGACTCGATCTTCGCTTTCATTTTCTGAAGCACCTTTGCCGTCTTGGTGGCATATTCTCCTCGTTAGTTTGAAAAATCACTACTGGCTAAATGACATTTAGTGACACAATTTTTTAGTGGCACTTTTGGTTTGTGCCACTATATTATAGTTTTTAGTGGCATTTATTTATTTGTGCCACTATACATTGAAAATTCTAATTTTTCAACTTCGCGCCCCTAATTCCCTCCTAATTCTAGCAACTCAAAGGTATTACGTTTTAACCTTCTTCACATCCATAGATACGTTTTTCTAATTGCTACACTTTATCATTCCCCTTTCTTTGATATGTGTGGCCGTCCCTAATCAGAGGACTCATCCCCATCGATCCAACACTCGATTCCTGGTGGCGACGTAGCCCTACCATCGGAATGACACATACTTCCCTATGTCGGCGACACAACCCTGCATCATACTGGCACACAGTTCATGACGGCTAAGAATTTACATATTTCTTATCTCACTTGGGGGAAAACGAATCACGTAAAGGTATTGTATTTCTATTCACTCATTAGTTTATGGGTAAAGGTATTCAGCCCCCCTCTTTCCATTTAATATCCCCTCCCCTATTTGATTTGATATATATATAGTAGGTTAAAACCCGTGAAACCACGGGTAAAAAAGAAAAACACTGTTGATAATTTAAAATGATAATAAAAAATAAAAAATTTATAAAAAATCATTAAATTACAAAGAGAAAAGTTTTGTCTATAATTTTATAATGATTACTCAAAATTAATATATATACATTGTTGTGAATACCGATATATGTTTTGTATGTATAGACATTTGATAAAATTATGATTTTATACAATACAATATAAATTTAAATAGAGTAAAAAAAACACAATAAATAATGATAATGATATTGTTATATGGTAATTTTCTTTTTATCAAAATATAATTTCCTTAATTTTCTTATTTCTCTATTTTGAGCATAGTAGGTGTTCTTATTTGTATTTGCATAAACAAAAATATTGTATAATGTTTCAAACTAAGAGTCCAGGTTCGTGGCGGATGCAAATGTATAAAAGTGGGGGCACATGCCCCCGATGACTAAAGTTTTATACATATAAGGCCCTTTAAATTTTTGGAAAAAATCAAAAATTCCCTTTATGTCTTTGAAAAAATTCAAAAGTGCTCCCAACAAAAGAAAATGTTAGAATCACCACTGCCCATGTTAACGTTTCAATCTGAAAAATAAAAAGCACTTGGTTTATAAAAACGTATGAGTAGCACTTCAAACATTACGTAAATTTAAGGAAATTGAAATACTAAAATCGAAATGGATGCAAATATGAATAGAATTGAAATAAAAAATTGGAACATATGCCAATTTAAATAGAATTAGACAGCATCATCGGAGATATGAATAGTAAATTAAATTGATAAATCTTATTAAATATGTTTTGAATATATAAACAAAGTTCTTTTTGTTGATTAATGATAAAATTGTGATGTGGTAAAATGAAATATATAACTTAATAAAGTTCAAAACATATGGACGATTAATAATGGATACATAAATGTATAATTTTTCTATTATCCAAATAAAGAAATCATGTGTATACAACGATGCAATAGTTCATTTAATAAAAATAAATAAATATTATATAATTAAGTAATTTGAAATAATTGCAGGGGCAACACCATCAAAAGAGTGAATTTCAACAAAACTACACTAAGGGCAAAATGGTAAAGATGTGGACCAAAAAAGTATAAGGTTTTCATATATCAATCCACTAATAGAATGTTAGAGGAATCTCTTAAAAACCAACAAAAACATCATAAAAACAACATCGACAACCAAATAACCCAAAAACTCAATGATAGGGTACCCAGGACAAAAAGGTCAAGACTTGAAATGTTACAATAAATTTAAACTTCAGTTAATTAAAATGATATGCACCAGCCATACACACATAGCCATCATTAATTTTCATACAATGTTTGATGTGTTGATCATAACTTTATCATTATCATTTTAATTTGATATTGTATCATTGAAATTTAATTTTATATTATCATGTTGTAGAATGAAATTGAATACAAATGTTGACAACTTAAAATATTAAAAGAAAATGTAAGTTACTTGGTATAAAGGAATAAACAAAAAAACTCATATAAATATTTTTTATGAAATCAAAAAAAAAAATTAGATTATAAATTAACATTTTAATGAGAGACCCAACTCTCAGACATCAAAATGAAAGTAATGTTCTAGTTTTATCTTAGTGGTGAAAGTAACATCATTTGTTCTATAAAATGGAAAGTAACAATGTATAAAAGTAAAATAATTTATTAGATATCACGTTATTAAAATACTATTACTTAATGGTTTTTTGTTCTCATACACAACCAATCTATTATTCTAATAGTAAAAATTGCTTTAATTTAATTAAATTACTATAAATGAAACAATTTCCAATGTACAATGTTGTAGTAAAAGAACCCCAATTTATCATATTATAATAAACAAAATAATAAAAATATGTTATTAGTTATATTTTACCTGAATTTGAAAACCCAACCATATGGCTATGTTGGGTGCAATGTCTAAAATGTTCTTTAAGCATGAGATTATAACTTTGTCACAACATAATGAATTAAATACTACTCATTTCTAATAAATAAAGGTGTTTAAAAATTTGTTAAACATTATGTTTTAACCATCCATTTAAGCAAATTTATATACTCGAAAGTGTTTATATATTTATTAGACTTGTTAAAGATATAATATAATTTGGAATTAACTAATTATAAATAAAAATAAAAAATTTCATTTGTAGTATTATACATTTTTATCTAAAGTTGATTTGGTGCTAAACGTTAGAAAACAAACTCGTTTTCTTTTTTCTACCAGTTTGTTAAAAAATAATCAAAAAATAAAAATAAAAAATAAATTGAGAAGAAGTTAGTGAAGGAGCCTGTTTTGTAGGATATTTTGGTGACACGAAAGAAGAGGATTTGGATCTTAATGTTATCTTTGTTGTACCATCATGTAATTACACCGAATGGGAGGCAGCGAATTCGTATGTCTACATTGATATTGTTTTCTCTCCTTTCTCAGTTAGGACATTAATGACAATAAGTTGGTATCCTTGATTATGTAGTTTTAAAGCAAATTAGAACTTGCACCACAAAAAAATGAGATTATCAAAGAGTGGAAAGCCAAGTGAAGATGGTGAAAGTAATAAATGGAGAGAATGGTAAGCTTTGCTTCCTTCAATAAATGTAAATGTACTTTCAACATTTTACACATAGTAGCAATATACTCATATTGTTTTTTAACCACAATAACATTATACTTTTAAAGTATAATGGTTTAATAAGAAAAAAGTTTAAAAAAATATGAAAATTAAGAAAAGCGTTTATGAATTAAAAATCAAAGTAAGATGTATTAGATAACAAAATGAAAGTACATTGCTATTTCTCGCATTTAGCTCTAAGAAAAAACAATATTCTTTCATTTTGTTGTCTAATATAGCATCTTACTTTTATCTCATACTCCTAATTTAATGATTTTTAATTTCAAATAATGTCTAATATAGCAATGTATTGTGCTAGAATTAGTTACGTTGCTATTAACTGATTGTACTTTGAAAGTACAATGTTAGAATTAGCTAAACTTTTCAAATTATAAACCATTATTTTCAACATCATGCATTTTATTTCACTATTAGTGATAACAACCTTGTATGTGCTTTAGATTTAGTCCATGGGGAAATGATACTTTTAAAAAGTTGACGACTAAGTAGTTAAATCTAATAAGTGAAATCCCATCAAGCATGCCACA